ACATGATTCTACACACAACTACACATGTACACATATACAGACAATTAGCACATATCTAACACATATAACACATGAGTGACATTGTTCAACTTGTCTGTTGAGTTTAACACTCTTATGAGTGCTGGTACAAACTTTTCCAAAAGCGTGCTTTTTGTTAGAGCAGCTGTCTGTATCTTACGGCAAGTTTGCCTCAGGTTGTCTGTGCTTAACATACCCAGTGGTTTTCGGGATGAGTCTTGCCCTGCTGGCTCTAGTCAGTCCTTATCAGTTTGTGTTTTCAGCACTGAACAGCAGCGATGGAAGGCCAGCTCAGTGAGCAGAGAGCTATTTGAGGCTGTCCAGCCTAGCAATCATTATTTCTTCTCCTATATACTGTGCTCATCTTGAATAAAAAACCATGGGCTGGCAAATTTTAAGTATCATTGCTGTCATACATACTCTTGTTTCAATAGTCCAAGCAAGAGAAAACATTGGCATCAAATTTTTTGAATATTATGGCCATCTGTCTGCGTGAAGGCCAAGAAAGTTTTCCAATGAGAACAATTAAGTGTAGTAGAATTAGTTGTTTTGTCTCTCCGAGATGTTTTTGGATTATGAACACGATAATGCAGCTCATATATTTCGTCTTTGTGCAGGTGTACAGCTCGGCTTCAGCTGTTTTGAGTACAACTTTCAACTGAGGGTGCAAAACATTTGATTAGGAGTCTTTTTAGCACTACTCAGCATTATCACTATAGAACCTATAAAAATATCCAACAGCATCTCCAGGCCCTTAAACAGAGCATGTATGGTTGAAAGACTAATTGTTTATTTGAAATATAAAGAGACATTTCCATTTCTAAAGCTGTCAGGTGAAACTCAGTATTCTCGTCTTAACCTTACTCGCAGTTATATTGAACTGCAGTGTTAACAAATTGCATAGAAATGTCGCAGCTGTCTGTATCTACGGCCAGTTTGCCATCAGGTGTCTGTGTTAACCATCACCAGTGGTTTTTGGGATGAGTCTTGCCCTGCTGGCTCTAGTCAGTCCTTATCAGTTTGTGTTTTCAGCACTGAAAGAGCGATGGAGGCAGTCAGTGAGAGAGAGCTATCTTGAGTGGCTGTCCAGCCTAGCAAATCATTATTTCCTCCTATATACTGTGCCTCATCTTGAATAAAAAGACCATGGGCTGGCAAATTTTAGAGTATCATTGCTGTCATACATACTCTTGTTTCATAGTCCAAGCAAGACAGAAAACCATTGGCATCAAATTTTTTGAATATTTATGGCCAATCTGTCATGCGGTGAAGGCCAAGAAAGTTTTCCAATGAGAACAATTAAGTGTAGTAGAATTAGTTGTTTTGTCTCTCCGAGATGTTTTTTGGATTATGAACACAGATAATGAGCTCATATTTCGTCTTGTGCAGGTGTACAGCTGGCTATCAGCTGTTTTGAGTACAACTTTCAACTGAGGGTGCAAAACATTTGATTAGGAGTCTTTTTCAGCACTACTCAGCATTAATCCTATAGAACCTATAAAATATCCAACAGCATCTCCAGGCCCTTAAACAGAGCAAATGTATGGTTGAAAGACTAATTGTTTATTTGAAATATAAATGAGACATTTCCATTTCTACACTGTCAGGTAAACTCAGTATTTCTCAGTCTTAACCTTACTCGCAGTTATATTGAACTGCAGTGTTACAAATTGCATAGAAATGTCCACAGTGCATGTGCTGCACTGGAATGGTCCGCACAATAGTACAGTGTCACTAAAGAAAAATATACAGTGATTCAATTGATCCTTTTTTTCATTTCTATTCTCATAGCGTTAAGGTCTCCTCTGTTCCCTTTAACTCTGACAATGCACAGTAGCTGTAAAGCTGAAAAGGTTATACTTTGACAGACAAGCTTTATTATAGATGTGCAAACATAGAGACATTGTGATCCACAGCCTGGAAATGACTCATAACACACATACAGTCTTAACTAAAGATAAATGTAGTCTTTGCTTGTACGCTACAAATTTGCAAGAAATATTTTCGTCAGAGCTGTTGGTTTTCATTACTTTTTTTTTTTCAAAATATTGGGATACTCTTACATTCCCGCGGCTAGTTCAAACATGACAGACGAGATACGAAGAACACATTTAGACAAATACGCACACACGCGGCTCCTGCTGTATGTCGCCGCAGCAAGGCAGCGCCATCTTCATCCCATCTTCACTAATATAGAATATATCAAACATTTTCCCCCTTCTTGTGTATTATGTAATTCCAAAACTATCCTCTGCTCTTAAGGGAGTTCTTCAGACTGAAATAATTTTGCATTGTGATATGGTGGCAGGCACTGTGCATCCCACACATTAAAGGATGTCTGGTTCTAAAAAGATTTTCATATTTGCCATGAATTTACAAGTTTATACTCAAGGGAATGGTGATTTATTTGGCATTTATTTTAGAAAACAGACATCTAAAACATCTTCCCATGGGGCTTGGAGACAGAATTGGCACTGCGTGATTCATTACTACGGCTCGTGTCTGGTGGGAATGTTACAGTTAAGTGCCAGCACTTAACTGTAACCTAGCCATTGTAAATATGATGCATGTCTAAAGCACAGCAAAGCCAATAATGGATGAAGATCTCTTGTGCTTTAATTGAACACCATATTACTTTGGAAGTGTGCCCTTACATATAAACAAATACTCTTGTGAGTCTAATGACAAAATTATATACTATCAGAAAAGTTTTGAGTTCTGTGACAAATATGCACTTATCTCAGCTGTAGTTACTTTTTCTGCTTCAGTGAATCAGTTGTAAACCTTTAGTGAGGGTCAAAACAAAACAAAAAATACCAAAAGCGTATTTATGAATGTGTTTTTTTTTTCTTTGAAAACTTCTATTACCTGACCTCAAGTTCATCCAGAAATTGAGAATAGAAAATTCTGTTTTTTTTTTGTGTGATTTATTTTTTCTTCAGGCAACTAAACTAGTAGTTGTAAATTGCTGTTCCTTTTCCAGTAATCACAAATATATTATTAAAGAGCTTTTATTGCTTTTTTTTTTACTAGTGACTGTGAGTAGAAAACAGCAGTTTTTAAATGAAGGTGGAGACATTAGCAACAGTTTTCACTCAGTCAATGAGGACAGGCAGTCATGTTTTTCATGAAAAATGTTATAAACCTGTTCATAAATGTAGCTGCAGTGGTTGATGATTTGAGATTTGTAAATGTGGATTAGTGACTCAGATCTGCTGCTCGCACTTTGTTTTGCAAACAAACAGTTAGGGTTAGTATAACAATAATTGTCAACCAAAAGTTTTGTTCGAAATCATGAGGCAATGACTTACACTGCTGCCCTTGGACATCTGCTTGGATAATAATATTATATTATATTATAATAATAATAACATTAGCTGGCGCAGTTTTGTTCTTTCTTCAATTTGTGATTTATTGTGCTCCTAGTGAAAGTTATCACTTTTGCTGCCAGTCACAGAAGACCAGAAGTCATGGTTCCTCATAAAAAATGTAACTCACCCATAAATGTAAAATCAACTTCAATCACTGTGGTCAACATGCCATTTGGCTGCACCATATAATCGCGGCTGATTAAGGTGCATCCTCCTCTACTATGGTGGATTTAAATGGTAAACGGACTGCACTTGTATAGCGCCATTTTAAACGCTACACACTACATGTCACCTTCACCCATTCACACACTCACACGCTGATGGCCCAGCATCAGGAGCAATTTGGGGTTCAGTGTCTTGCCCAAGGACACTTCCGCATGCAGAGAGAAGAGCTGGGATCGAACCGCTAACCTGTTCCTTCTGTACTGTAAATTGTATAACAGGTCAAGCAAATAGTCTTTGGTTCTGCCTCCAAAATTTAATGTTAATGTTATTTTTTTTAATTTAATTTTTATTGATCAACCATGGCTGAATGGTTTAAATTGCTGTCCATCAATTGAGTTTGAGTCCAGTCAGGGACCTTCATGTCCTTTACTTTCTCTTTCCTCATTTACGAAGATCGAACTGCCAACCTTCTCCTTATGTTAATGAAATAACTGGTCAAGCAAATAGTCCTTGGTTTTGCCTCCAAAATTTAATGTTAATGTTATTTTTTTTATTTCATTGATCACCACCTGGCTTAATGGTTTAAGTTGCTGTCCGTGAATAGAGTTTGAGTCCACTCAGGGACCTTCATGTCATTCACCATCTCTTCCCTAATTTCATCTCTCCACTGTGGTCTCTCCCCAAAAAAACTTAAATTATTTTTGCTGCAGAAAGTATCTCAACCTGGTGTTACATCACCAATGTTTGACTTGTTATCATCAGGAATAACAAAATGCAGAGGAACACGAGGCATAACTGATAGCTTTCTTTGAAATGGCCGTGAGAGCAGAATTATTTTCCGGCGTTCGATGTGCTTTTGCAGTAAACAGGATGTTAGAACCGGAGGACTTCATTTGAAACACTCAGGTTGATATGGAAGTTTTAGCTTATGGAAGCGGCTGGTTGGTTGCCTTAAAATCCGTGATTATTTTGAATCTGTATGTATGCCTTCAACATTAAGATGCGCTGTTGAAGAAATGTTATCATTTTCCAGGTTCTGAGGACCATGGGATTTTAATATAAAACTACTCCAAAATAAATGTTTTTGACATACACAGTATGTTATAGACATAGCCTAAGATACAGATCCTATCTGAAGACACACGTCAACAGCACAGAAAAGTTATGTTTGATTTAATGGGACCCTGAACTCCAATTTTACAGAGAACAGGAGGTTAAAAGAGGCAGCTGTGAGATGCTCAACGTCAAAAGCAGGTCATGAAGTCTTTCAGGGCACGGCAGTTTTATTAACTTTGAATAAATGTTGGACAGCAGCACACATTTATATTTATTTTACTAAAAACTGGGCATCAAATTAAAAATGATGAAACCAGGAAACACTTGAATTCATCTGGTATTTTACTATAAACCAAAGACTAATACCTTCTAATTAGACAGTGATACTCATAAAATAAGGTGGTGCTTTCAAATTACCAATATACTGTTATAAACTTGTTAAATGTGTCATTAACCAGCTCTGTGTGTATTGAAGCATCCCAAGCTCTTTGCAATCACTTCTTAATACCTATTCTTTATGTTTATTGGCCAAATACGCGTATGTGCAGTTATATGTTTAGCTTATTTCCCATGACATTTAATCATATTGGACACATATACGTTACAAAGAGTAAACGGTAGGGCCAAAGGGATAAGACACACTTGCCTTTAGTGCGTAATGAGGGACCCGAAAGGATCTGACCGGTCTTGTTGGGACATCAGGAGATTATAAATCAGTGATTTAGCATGAAGCCAGACTGTTAAGTACCATGTAGATGATGAGGAGAATCATAAATTCTATTCTGTTCTTAATTGGGTGCCAGTATGGGGATGCCAGTGTAGGTCTTATGTGTGATCTGCAGCTGGCTTGTCATTGGCCTTTCTGCTGTATCTTGAACCAGAGGCATAATAAGTCAGACTCACTATGGCACGTGAATAAGGAATTTCAATAATGATGAGGGATGAGAGAATGAATAAATCTCTCTTCCAGTTCATGATGTCTGTTTTACATTTACCACATTTGTCAGCCTGCACTGTTTGTTCTATGTCCCTGCATAATTTAGTCTCTGAAGTAAAGTAAAGCAGTAGCCATACAAAACTATTAAGATTACCATTGAATCAAATAAGGAAACACAGCAACTCAACACGGATTGAACACAGACCAGCTCCCTGAAGCGCTGAAAGAGCCCATTGACATAGGTTTGGACAAATGGATGCAAAAGCTCCCCAGAAGAGATGCACAGATGCCACATGTTCACTGAAATGTTTAACAAGGGCTCTCAATATGTCCCTGACAAAGATAAGTGGAAGAAATCTTTGCATTTATAATTATATTCTTGGATTGTTTCTGCTTTGTTTATAGCACTCAATATCACAGAGGAGAAGGCATCGTGCCCCCTTGGATTTTTCCCCTGTGGCAACCTGACCGTGTGCCTGCCTCAGCTCATGCACTGCAACGGCATCGATGACTGTGGAAATCAAGCGGATGAGGAGAACTGTGGTGAGTCATTGTTTCTACTTGAACAAATGTTAATATGTTCATGTGCTGCATAACCCTTTTGCCTACATACATCTGCAATGTACCAGCTGTGTGGGGCACTTAGATAATAGTTGATATGTACACTGACAAACCAAAGCTTCTAAATGGACTCTTTAGTGATTAATTTACTACATAGGTACAGTCATATTGTTGTACTATGAATTAATTCTGTTCCCTGCCTACAGTGGTCATTGCAGTGGTAATTATTTGCCCTTTTCCAGAAAAACAAGTAATGCCGTCAGAGCGTCAGTGATCTTGCAGCAAAGTGTCCTTTTTTAAGTTTTCTCTCTGAAATATGTAGTTAATTTAATGCGTTTTTCATAATGTTCCATGACCTTGTCCACACAGGGCATCTGATCACACAAAATTAATGTTGGACATTTTTATTAAATTTGGGGATTTGGGATAGGTTTTATTTTTCTTTTGAACACTTGTGGTCAAAAATGACCGGCCATCAGAAATTAATGAGTGAGACTACTCTAGAGTTCAGGCCCATCCCCATATCAGTTGGACACACTTCCTCTCCCAGACCCCCACCGGCATGTGTGTTTGGACAGACATTCCCCTTCTTGGCTGCACTGGCAATCCGCACAGGAACCTTTCCCCTATCTTTCCCCCACGGGAATCTCACTTTATGAAAATTTAACAATTGCAACATTGTTTTAATAATATATAGGACACACACAGACACACGTCTCAATGTCATATATTTGCAAGGAACGTGCAGCAGCCCCCCCATAGAACACACAAAATGTAACCAGACATCAATGTCGTAATATGTTAGGTTTGTATGTGTAGTTTTGGGCCTGTGTCCTTTCCTTGCTTATAAAATAATAATAATAATAATGACAATAACATTCAGTTTTGACCGGAAATACAACAGATGTTATTTTGTGTCACTATTTATTAACTTCAAATGGTTTCAAAAACAAATGTCCTTGTTAAACTTTGACACAAATGAGTCTGTGATAAATCAAAACATTATGTTTTTTCAAAAACTCAAAAGCAAGTTGTATGAGCTCAGTACAACAAAGCCACAGGCCATAAATAGAAAATAGGCAGCTATTGCACAATGGAAACTTTATACTGCATGCTCATTGATCCGTTCTGCTGATATGGTGTACCTCAGAGTTCTGTACAGATCCAGTTTTGCAAACCTATAACAGCACTGCATCTGCAAAGCTTAGTCTCGGACCCAGCCCAACCTGTACCCATAATTAAATAGGCTCTGTTTTGCTTTCTGGTGTAGGCAACACAGGTGCAAACCCCAGTGGGAAAATAAGCAAATACATTTAAAAAAAACATTCACATTGATGCGTGTGGATTGTGTGATCCAATTTTTGAATGGATCATGTTCACTTGCATTTCCTCCTTCTCAGTACAACTCATTGTTTGAGGCATTCACTCATACCTCTAAAGTCTTGTGTATTTTATGCACAGCTGGCAGTGTGGTTACTTTAATTTATTATGTAACACCAGGATTTAACAGAAACTGACCTGTACTTTTCTACATGCTGGTGAGCTGTTCGAAAACATTATATAATTTAATTATGTTGGTAAAGATGAAAATAAAAGACTGCAACACTGTACATTATTTTCATTTCATTTTTACCCATACCTTGAATAAAATAATTTTTTTTGGTGGGTTACCAAAGTTTAGGGGTGTACTTCTCAACACACGTGTAAATGTTGAAAGCATTTATTCAGCATAGGTACAGAAAAAATCTATGAGTGCTGTCCAAAGATATATTATTATGTAATAAAACATGCAATTGACACTACAGCATGGTTCAAAGGTAAATGACATAATCATTGTTAACAAAAATTAAATACAATTTTAACCCAAAGAACTACAAATATGTCAGATTACACTATTATAACCTTTTAATGTTGAAGCCTCCATTCTTTTGCTCCAGTTTGTGAAAACAAGCATGACTGATTTCCTGAATTTATCTTCAGGAGACAATCATCAATTATGGCTCCTGTGCTGAAACAGGTGCAGCTTATAAAACAGCTGTCAGATTATAATAAATGACAGTTATGAATTTCTCTGACTTCCGTCCCTTCCCCAGGCTCGATTTAGTCATCCTGTGGGAAGGATGATGATCTGATGTCAGCTTTGTGTCCAGTAAGTGCTGGTGGTTTATGTAGTCTTAATAAAGTCAAAACCAGTTCACTGCCTGTTTATATTAACATCAAAGATGCATTTTCCTGTCTCCAGGCATATTTAGCAGTATGCCATCACACACTCATATAAGTACAGTGCTGGCTAACAGTGTTAGATGACAGAAACACTTAATAAATAGTCATTGATCGTCCTTGTCCCTCTTTGAGGTGCACCTAATAGACTGGAAACTAAGTGCATCGCTTGGTCTGACTAAAACACAGTTCCTAAATCCAGTAGCAGGCAAAGCTGTCGTGACGCTCCCATGCGGAGAGGGGAAAAACACTTAAAGTAGGTCTTTCATAATCTATTGACGTAACAACATTCTTTGCACAAGTATACTGAATGGCAGCAACTCCCTTGTAGAAAATAAAATAGATTTAATTAAAATATCCAGGAAGAAGGAAGTATGCAGTACACAAAATACTTAGTTCCTCATTGGTTTGACTATGAGGCTTTTCAGCTGTACTGGTTGCCTCTTAACAGCCTGCCCTTCATCACTCAGCACCTCTGGAATGTTTTATTTTGCTTTTGTTTTAGTTGCATTCGTTTCCCTACTTGCTTTTCATTAATTCATCACCGGAAATAGATATATTTTTTCAAAATGTGAAGCGCTTACTTAACAAGACTGCAACACGTTTGTAAACGTTAATTTAGCAAATGTTAAAATGAAAATTGAATGATTTCAATCTGAGGACGGGGTAAGGGAAATGAGTTATTGGTTTACAATTATTTGAGCAACAGTAAACTTTTAAATGTTTTATGCATTTCCAAAGTGGCTATTTACATCAGTCTCTAACTCCAGACCTTCTGGATGTTACTCTCGTCAGGAGGAACACATTGCTGACCTTACAATTTTGAAGGTCACAGATAAAATCCTCTTGAGGCAGTTAGATTGACAATCCTTTTTCAAGCATCCCTGAACAAGACACCGAGCCCCTAATTCCCACGGATAAGTGTTAAGGTTAAAGGCATCAGCCTCTTTAGGAGGGATAGCGTAAAATATGTAATTTCTCAGAAGAGCCACAGAACCAAACCAGACAGAAAATGAGTCGTTGAATTGTTTTTTGTTCCATCTTTCAGGCAGATGGATCCATCAAGATACATTTTGGTGTGTGTGTGTGTGTGTGTGATTCAAGTCAGCAGATTTTAGAATCGGGGAGCATTATTTTGTCATTATGGGCTTTTCATATAAGAGTTTAATGGACTCTTGATTCCATCATTTTGGAGATGTTAGAAAGATTTAAACTGCCTCCCTCAGTCATAAACTCCTGCCGAAAATAGCAGTCTGCCTCAGGGGTGTGAGAAGCACAAAACGCGTGTCCCACTTGAAGACTGTGATCAGCGGCTTGCATGTGGAGAAGTGTTTAGACAGAACAAGCACAAGTGCCATGGGTGCAATGGGATGGCCTGATATTCAGACTGAATCGCCATTTCAGTACCTCTCCAGTATTCAGTCTGACATGTCTTCTTGCTAGCCATTTTTCAGGGAGGAGGATTTGATATCCAGCTGGTCTGATGTCACTTGCAGTCAGTGCTGAGGATGTGTGCGGATGTCAAACAGCATTCAGGAGCCGAAGTGCTGCTACCACTCTCCAGGGTAGCTGCTGTTTCACTAGCTTGTGTTCTCATTGTAAATTGCAAAATCCCATTGAAGGGTTCTTTTAGGGTTTAAGCTAATGATCTGCAGAATGTCTGAAATAGTTTACTATAATGTAAGACAAAGAAAAGCAACACTGAGGTACTGCAACCAGGAAATGTCTGGCATTTTTTCTTGATGCCTTTCTATTGATTGTTTCCACTCTATTCCTTAGGATACCCAACAATTTCTTAGATAAATATCTACTGCAGGCCTTGCTTAACATGAAGTTTTACTCCACTACATTTTTTTCGCAGCTATAGTTATAAGTTATTTTAAAGATCAAGATTATACACACAAAACATGTGACCAACTTCTTAAATATGATGCATGTTTAGATTGAACTACCTATTATAAACTTGTCATAATTATTTCTATTTCAACCAGCTAAAACAGCAGTTTGACGGCATTCAACCCATCACATGGTGTTTATTCCTGTCTAGACAGATGGCATAAACCTTAAAATAAACTGTTGAGGTAATGGTAATGTTCCATGGCTGGACATCTTAATAATTTACATTATTGCAAATGTCAGTCAGATTTTGTGTTCTTATATCTCTATTATGAGATGTGGGTGATTCAGAGGTCTGAAATGAGGTTAAGTATGAGAAGTATTGCTCAGTAAAATGTGTTTTATTGAGTGAGCACTTAGGTATAATTTTGAAGAAATGATGGACAATTCTGGTCTTAGTAAGTCTTCCTGATGCTGTATTCAGTGCCTCGCCTTTAGAGAGCCTTCACGTTGCACTTTGACTCAATGAGTAGGTGTAATAGTCTTTGTGGCTGAAATATCTGACACAACTGTGAAAATAAGCTTGAAGTGACAGATCTACTCGCCCCAGGTAATCTTCGTATATACAAGATGTTACAATAACAGATTTCCTTTGTAGTTCTTTCCTGAAGAACATTAGTCTTTTGTACATTAGGAGATTGTACGTGTTACACTATATTTGCAGTGGCTGATTTATCTAATAAATACACCGTATTTCTCCAGAAACTTGAATCCTGAAGTGTAATTCTTGATACCAAGGATGTCCACATGTTTACAAAGCGAAAATAATTATAGGATGCTATAGACTCTTTGAATGTTAAATCTGATACCTTGCCTTCCTATATGATTGCTTCATCAGAAAGATACTGTATCTGCATCACCGATTA